ACCACCCGACCGCCAAACAACCCACCCGACACCGCCGGCGTCACCCCTGCCGCCGCCGCCGCCGCCTCCCCCTCCAGCATTGCTCTCACCGCCCTGGTCCCTGGTGGATCGGTCACCCTCACAGGGCCAAGTCCTGATCTTGAACCCGCACCACCAGCAGCTCCTCGTTCAGCACGATCAGCAACCCGCTCACCAGCAGGCACAGCAGCAGCACCAGGCCCGCGAACAGCAGCCGCAGCCGCAGCCGCAACGCTCCGGGACGCAGCGTAAGGGTACCCAGCGCCATCCGGGGGGCTCCAGCGCCGCCGGCAGCAGCAACCTGACGCCATCGCCGCGTTCCGCGTCATGGTACGGCGGCGCGCCTGCCGTACACCCGGACCCCACACGTGTGGTGCCGGAGGTGCCTGTGGAAATGCGGTTGTGCCGCGTGGCTGCTGAGCTGCTCGAAGGACTGTCGGAGATCCGGCCGCTGTCGACCGAGGGGTTAGCTCCTGAGCAACTCGACGGCAACGGGGCGGCCACGCCGCAGCAGCAGCCGCCTCCGCCGCCCCTCCGTGTCGCAGCGCGCGCGGGTGGTGGCTCCGCCGCCGGGAACCCGAACGCGGTGAAGGCTGGCTGGCTGCCTGAGTCGTCAGCTCTGGCTCCTCCTGTGGCTGGTGTGGGAGGAGATGGTGGTGGAGGAGGTGGGAGCAGATGTCGCAGTGTCGTACTTCAAGGTGATCACCCTCATCCCAGGGAGGGAACTGGAATGGACTGGACTTGGAGGGGAAGGGGGAGGGGGAGCTCCTGATGCCGTACCCTGATACCCTGATGCCGTATCCTCTGTCTGGTGTTGGCGGCGGGGTGCCTTGGGGCTGGGGGATGGAGGGAGCCGGAAGGTACCCCCGGGGGGGATACCGGCCTTCCTGCACGTTTTAGGGTTTTAGGGTTATACGGCGCGGGCCCCCTGGGACCCACCGCGGGCCCCAGAAGCGGTGAAGCTGGTGGGAATTCGGGAACACAGCGACCCGCCCCGCCTGCTTCCCTGGCCCTCCAGGTATATACCCACCCGCACGCGACCGCACCAGCCCCAACGCCCCAACCCGTACTCACATCTTCCCCCTCTCCCACTTTCCTTCCCTTCACTTTCCCAAACCACCTCTTGCTCCCGTACGCGTCAATAACCTGTCCCCTTTACCGCTCTCCATCCCTACCCGGCGTTCAAACCGTTGTTCAACCGTTTTTATCCTCCCCCTCCCTCCCTCCCTCTTCCCCTCCCTCCCCCTCCCCTTTACCCCCCCCCCACCAGGTCGCTGGCAGGGTCAGCCGGTGGCGGTGAAGCTGGTGGTGGGAAACCAGCTAGAGCACCGCAACGGAGCTCTATTGTCGGTGCTAGGGGCGGCGACAGCAGTACATTCGGGTCTTGTACGGGTGTACGGCATCAGGCTGTTGCCCGCCACCTCCGTGGGTGCGGTGGAGTGCCGCGGCTTGTTCAAGGCTGCAGCGGCGACGGGCGAGGCGGTGGCGGCGGCTGTAGCTGCTTTGGGGCTGCAACCTGGGGAGGGGGTGCTGGTGGTCATCATGGAGCTGTGCGTCATGGTACGGCACTAGGATGGGGGGAGGGAGGCAGGGCCAGAGAAGTCAGGGGGGGTTGGAAAGAGGGGAGGGAGAAGAAAACCGAAGCCAGGCGTCAGTCCAACGCGGACGGCGTTTGTGTGTGTGTGTGTGCCAGGAAGGGGGAGGGCCCCCGGGGGAAAGTGGGGGGTGGCAGGAGGGGGGTGTAGGCGGGGCCCGGAGAGGTGGAGGCAGCCACGACCCGGTAAGGGGGGGCGGCGTTTCGCACAGGGCCTTGCACATCCCCACTTCTTGCATGCGCGTCTTCATGACTTCTGTACGTGTGTGTCTTAATTGTGATCCGCGGTGCGGTGCGGTGCGGTGCGGGAAGGGAAGGGAAGGGAAGTGCCGATGGCGCTCCACTGAAGGGTAACTTAACACTTCATCACAGATTGAAGCTCCGACTAGTGACCAGCGAGGTGTTGGACTCGAGGCCTCCCCACTGAAATGTGACGTAGCTGCACTCTTGAGGTTTTCACCAGGGGGCCTGGTAGATGTTGATCAGAAGAGTGATACCAAGAGCCCGTAGGAATACGTGTTGTACATGTGTTCTTTTGACAGATTCCAAAAAGGACAGGTTGAACAGCTACTGCTACTGCTGCTGCTGCTGCTACTGCTGCTGTTGCGGGTCCCCACTCGTCCTCAACGTGCCACACACCCAGAGTGTCACACACCCTGCCCTCCTCCCAACACCCCTTCCCCCACCTCGTCCCGCATCTCCCCCCCCCGGCTCAAACCCTGACCGCCCTCCTCTCCTCTACCCCACCCCACCCCACCCCACCCCGGGGGCTTTCTCGTACTTTCACATGTGAAAAACCCCTTCCCCCTCTTTCCCCCCTCTTCCCCCCCCCACCCCATCAGGGTTCCCTGGGTCCGCTCACCCTCGCCGCATACTCCCCCTTCCGCCCCAACCGCTGCTGGCCCGCCTACATGGCTCGACGAGCCCTCCTGTGCACCGCCCTGGAGGTGGCGGGCGCACTGGCGCACCTGCACCGCTTCGGACTGACCCACGGGGCGCTGAGACCCAACAATGTGCTGCTGGTGCCCGCACTGCAGGACAAGAGGAAGTTCTGTGTGAAGGTGGGGTTGGGGGCGGGAGGGGATTGCCGCTTGCTGGTGCTGTTTACGATAGTTACGGGAGAGGGCGGGGTTGTGTTGGGTGCATGGGGACCTTCCTTACACACACACACACACACAATCCTCGCCATGCATTTCTCTTGGTTTACTTGGTAAAACCACCCCGACCCCCCACCCTCGACCGGCCCCCACCCCGATCCCCCACCCCCGACCGGCCCCCACCCCTACCCCCTAGGTGGCCGACGTGAGCTTGTCCTGCAGGGTTCTGCAGCACTGCGCCGCCGCCAACCAGCTCTTCATCTGGGGGTGCTCCAGCGCCGCCGGCAGCCACCACAGCGGCGGGGAGCCGTCCATCCCGGGCCCCCGGATCGCCGCCGCCGCCGCCTTCCCCCTCGCACAGCCGCCCTCGCCCGTCGGCTCTACGGCCCAGCTCCAGCTCCAACTCTCTCGCCACCCGCACCCTCCTCAACCCGCTCCTTCCCCCCCCCCCTCTCCGCCCCCGCCTCCCGCCCTGCCGCTGCTCCACCTCCACCCCGAGGACCTCCTCTTCCTGGCTCCGGAGGCGCTCACTCAGAGTGAGCCGGGGCGGCTGATGGCCAGTCAGCCCGCGGACGTGTTCTCCTTCGGGATATTGCTGTGGTCGCTGGCGGCCGCTCAGACCAGCTGGCCGCCGGAGCTGCTGCTGATGGACCTCCAGGGGGGCCCAGGGGGAGGAGGAGGGGGAGGGGCTGGCCCCGCGGCGGCAGCAGTGGCAGCAACGGTGGAAAGTGCAGCCGGTGCGTGGTGGTTGGTGGTTGGTGGTTGGGATTCAGGGTGGGCGGGCTTGCAGTTTGCGCTGGTTGGGTCCAGGGAGGGAAAAAGGGGAGACTACAGATGTGCGATGAACCCATGTGTGGGGGGTACCGTTGGGGTGTGTATGCGTGTGTCTATGTGTGTGTATGTATGTATGTGTGTATGTGTATGTGGCCCTGCGGGCTGGCGGTTGCCCCGGATGCTGCCCGAGTCAAGATGTGGGAGTCAGAGGGAGCGTGTCTGAGGGAGGGAGGGGTACTGCCCGCGCGCTTGGCCCCACCCACGCACCCACTCACTCACTCACCCACCACCCACGCATGCGGTCATGTAGTCGTGTGGTTGCCATCCTGCCACTCCACTCCACTCCCTTTTCCAATTGCTTGGTCGGTGTCTGGGCCACCGCCGCCGCCGCCACCTCAACAACGGACCGAGCTATATGCGAGCGGTAGAGCGGTCCCTTCCTGGCCTACCGAGCACCCACCCACCAAGCCCCCAACCCCCCCACAACCCACCTCCCCACACACAAGCACACACGTTTTGGGTTCATTTGTCCTCCCCCCTCTCCCTCC